CCTGTTCATTGGGCAGCCGGGAGATCGGTGAGAGCAGCAGCGCCCATTTGCCTGTTGCGCAACGGACACCTTCGTCAGGGCCCAAGAGGCGAACAAGCACTCAGCCTGCACCGCCGCCAGTGCCCAAGTGGATGCCTCGAATGCATCCAAGTGGATGATGAGGTGAATCGACGAGATTGCCTCGAGTCTTCTCTGCATCTTCTGTGCCTTTCCGCTGCCTACCGCCGTCGTGGTGCCCGTCGTCCTCTCGGCTTCTCTCGCTCTGCCCGTCATCCACCGCAGCAGCAACCTCACTCTGCCTCTGCTGCTACCAAGTGCAACCTTGCTTAAACTTCGTTGCTTTTGTTTGGCCAACCCGGCACAGCCTGCATCATTGACTCCTAGTTCCAGATTGCTGGAGCCTTCTGCCGTCCGCCTGTCCTCGTTCTTGCTTCATCTGACTGGGCAGGCAGCCTTCTGTGCAGCAGATCCGCCCGTAGGGCTTCCTTCCCGTCCGACGAACCCAAACCCAAACAAACACAGACCTATCCGTAAGGTAGAATCTGTTGAATCACTCGAAAGTCCATCGTGCCTACTCATCCAAAGAGCACAACGCTGCCCAAAATCCGGGGCCTCAACACCACACCCTCGATCGGCTTTGCGACGACATCCCTACCGTCCCGCTACCCGCAGCAACATAGACAAAACGTCGGGAACACCCCTGCTCAGTGACAGCGGACAGCGGTTCACCGCGCGGCGCACGCCCACAGTTGGAAGAAGTGGACAGAACCTACGAGCCAGCATCCAGCAACCTAACAAGCCCGCAAGCCAGGCCGCTGCATCGCGCAAACCCGGCCAGCCCCTCCCATTTCCATCACTGCCCTCTTCTTCCTGTTCCCGCCCACCTCACTACCACTCAACACCACTCACTCACTTACTCCCTCCCGCCAGTCCGTCCCTCCCAGTCCTGGTCCCAGTCCCAGCCCTGGTTCACGTCCACATCCACATCCACGGCCCCCTCCATCATCCACCATCCACCCATCCTCCTCCCCTCCAGCCCAAGTCCCAAGTCCCCCACGAACGGACGGCACACGCAGCCTGCTTCTCCTGCCGGTCTATATCACCTGTCGGTTGCCTTTACTACATACCACCTACCTACATACGCACTTACATACATACCCAGCTTCTGCTGCTGTGGTATGACGACGTTGCTCCCACTCTGACTCTTCTCTTCCCTCTTCCTCTCACTCACTCTTCTTCTCTTCACCCCCTCTTCTCACTCTCAGCCGGCTAAGCTCTAGCTCGGCCCTCTGATTAAAGTCCCATCCTCCCTACACTTCCGTCTTGCCGCTCACTCCTCAGCGCCGCGAGGGAAGTCTGGCTCTTTTCTAACCCATTTCCCGGGCCACTTCATTTGTTGCGCAAGATACCCGTGTCTGGTCACCTTAGTGTTGCCGACCCTCACGCTACCCTCTGCGCTACACGACCGCCAAACGGCTTACTACCCCGCCATTCATCCCACCTATTCAGACAAACTCCCCCAACAAACAACCACAAACGCCTTTGCTGCAGCTTCCCGAAACGATAAACGCTTATCGTTTTTCTTTCTGCAAAAATGGCTTACCGGTCCAACGAGTTCGAAGACCGTTTTTACGAGCCCCGCCGCGAGAGGGATTCGTCGAGCCGAGTCGCATTTAATGACGTCGAAGTCCGCGACAGGCCTCGTGAGCGCGAGGGCGACCGCCTCCGCTTCTTGCGTGAAGAGCGCGCTCCCGAGGCCGGTGCCATGGTTTTGAGCCGCCGCGAGGTTGAGTCGAGAGAGCTCTCAAGGCCTCGCCAGCGCACTCCGAGCCCTGTTTACCGCGAGCGTGTCATTCGTAGGGCTCGCAGCTCGTCTCCCCCGCACCATCACCACCACGACCAAGAGCTTGAGCGGTCAAGAGTCCGCATCTCTGAGCGCGAACGGGAGGTTCGCAGCCCTTCTCGCGGCCCTCCTCCCGAGCTGATCCGCGCTCGTTACGTTGAGCGACAACGCTCGCCATCTCCTCCACCTCCGGCCAGAGAACGCAGCCGTGTTGGTGTGCGCATCGTGGAAAAGGAAAGAGAGCGGATCCCGTCTCCTTCGCCCTCGCCTCCACCTGCACCTGCCCCTCCTCAGGTCATTCGTGGACCGACGATTGAGAGAGAAGTCATTACGCACTACCGCGATATTGACCATGGTAAGCAACACGAAACATTCACAAAAATTGGTATGAATCAAATATCTAACTTGGGCAAGGTGTCACTCGGGTCCCTAGCCCTCCCCCTCCTCCCCGCCCCGCACCTCGACCTATGACCCGGACTGAAGACCGGGAGCTGGACATCGACATCACGACCTCCCGCAACAGGACCGACATCGACATTCACCGATCAACAAGCCGTCACCGCTCTCCCAGCAGAGAGCGCCGGTCGCCCGCCTTCAAGGACAGTAGAGACCTTGTCATGAGCACCGATCGCCTGCGTATTGATGACCGCCAGTACTTTGGCTCCCGGCGTAGGGCTCATTCTGCTGCTGCCCGCACCCCTGTCGAGGAGGAGGCTGAGTACATCACCTCCAAGATTGACCAACGGGGCAAGATGGGCGAGGCCTGGGGTGGTGCCACAAAGGATTGGACCATCGTGGATGTGCCTCCCGGAACCGAGCGCGTGCAGATGGACGGCGCCGGCGGTGGCTCTGCCGAGGTGACCTGGCAGCGCTACAACGGAGTGAGGCGAGCCAAGTTCGTTCCTGAACGCGATGGTGCCCCTACTCCCGTCCCGGCTCCGGCCCCCGCCTTGCCCTCGCCCAGAGACTCTCGTGATCGTCTCAGTGTCCAGGTTTACGACCGCGAGACTGAGATTGATATCGAGAAGACCAAGGAGCGTCGTGCCCCTCCCAAGAAGCGTAATGAGATGTGGACCGAGATCACCAAGGACCTCGTCATTCGAGACGCCATCATCGAGCTGGGCTACGACTTTGAGGAGACGGAATATTTCTTCTACATTATGCAATACTTGAAATACGTAAGCTTTGTCTCCCGCATAGTTCACGGCCATCACTAACCATCCACAGGACGACGTTTTGGAGCTGGTCAAGGTCTCGGATGAGATCCGCCAATTCCGCAAGCACCGTGTGCGCGAGATTGAGTACGAAAAGGAGTGGCGCGACGACTGGGACCGCCGCCACGGACATCACCACCACCACCGCCTGCCTAGCAAATATGACGACGAGCGGGTCTATGAGCGCGAGGTTGTTTACGACAGCGCAAGAGAACGTCCCAGACGGTGGTAAACGTGCAGCACATGATGATTTACGGATATATAAATGCGGTTGCCCTGGCACCCATCCAAGGTGTGAGATCAGCGGGCGGTAAGGCGCTCTACAACGGATTCGGACTACAGAACATGTCATTTCGGTATGGGATGTACCGGCATTAGAGAACGGATCTGCCTCGGGGGGCTGTGTGTCTTCTTTTCTCATTTTACCCATTTACTGGCTTTTCTGCCCGGCACATGTGTAACGATTTACGAATACTACATAGCGGCGGAGAATAGGGCGGAGTTAGATTGTATTAGGACCAATAACGATTTATGACACAACTGCTTACTTGCCCGTCTGTGAGTCAATGTGACTGATCCAACTGCTGGGTATTCTATAAGTTGTTGACGTAGACAATAACACTGGTCATTTTGAAAGTACAACTTGTGCGTAGGTATATTGCCTGTGCAATAGCCGATGAACAACTGCTTCATGGTTTGAGCCCAACATGATGTCTGGTAGGTAGCATCACTCCGTTCAAGAAGAAGCGGCAGCAACGGCGAGAAATGTCTGCGTCGGCGGGTAATATTTACAAGTACCTTCAAGGGGTCGGATATGCCTGAAAGGCTTCTCTGTAAGAAAGATAGTGGTACTCATGGCGGTATACTGTCCGCCACTTGAAAATTATGAAATGTCACCCAGAAACACAGGTGATTTTGTTTTGGGCATAGACACAACGAGAAAGAAGTTCGGCATGCGGCAGTAACATGTGAAAACTAATAGCTGTCCCACTCCTACGGAGAAGATGAAGACTGGGCTCGAGGACTGGTCCCTCCCACCTAGCTTCCTTCCTTCCTTTCACACCTCCCCCTTCCACACTCATATCCCGCACCATGTGCCTGCCTTCCTTCCTTCCTTCGGGCCACCCTTCTAATCAAGGACGTCCGCCTTGTCACCGTCAACCAAGCCTGATGAAGGGCCAAGTGGTCCAGAGGTATAACAACGGTCTAAGTCGTTAGTTTGAACTCGTTATGAAGTCCCATATGATGGTTTCGTAGGGTCCGCGGTTTCGAATTCCGCGGTTGAGCTTTTTGCCTGCTTTTTCTTTTGCTTTCCCCCGTTGCTTCACTTTCTGTTTTTATCCTGGGGTTTGGTCGTTCTTTGTCTCTGTTTTCAACAATATACTTCGCCATGGCCGATTTCATCTCCAGACTTGGGATCGACTCACTGCATCACCCTTGTCAGTATGTCTCTACATCACGAACTTCAGCGACCTAAACACTTCCGCCACGTAGTCTTCACAACACCAAAAGAAACCTCACGCGAGCGATCATAAACCAGAGAATGACACCAAATATTGGAGTGGAAGTTTTCATAATCTTGAGCTCAGCGGTTAAAAATATCCAGCATTTCCCATAAAGCAACAGTACAAACTTTTTGTGTTCTTCTTTTCATGAGTTGTCCTCATCCAGGTAAATAAGTAAACAGTAGAAGCAAGTGGTGGTTGTACATCCTTCCCCCTAAAGGTCCATCATAGCTGAAAATAGAGTCGTCGCATCGGTGGGTATGAACTCGAAGAAGCAAATGGCTGCCAAGCGCGGCGCCTTCAGTTCCGGCAGAAGGGTTTCCCCCGGCCATTGAAACGCAAGAAACTCGTCAAACAAACGGCGATAGAGGCACGCCGCTCGGGGATCACAGCCGCCGATCTGTGACGGTCTCCGTAGGCATGCCAGCTCGACAAACCTCACTTGCGAGCACGACCGCGCTTGGGCTTGTCCTCGGCGGCAGCAGCAGGTGCAGCAGCAGCCTTCTTGCGGCCCTTGGGAGCGGCCTTCTTCGGCGCAGGCTTCTCCTCCTCCTCCTCCGACTCAGGGGTAGCCTCGGGTTCGGCCTCAGACTCCTCCTCCGACTCCTCAACCTTGGCCTTCTTCGTAGCCGCCCTCTTGGGAGCAGCCTTCTTCGCAGCGACGCCGCGCTTGGGGGCAGGCTTCTCCTCTTCTTCCTCCGACTCCTCCTTCACGGCGGACTTTCGAGCTCCACGCTTGGCCGCAGGCTTCTTCGGAGCCTCCTCCTCGTCGGACTCCTCCTTCACGGCAGACTTCCGGGCGCCGCGCTTGGCCGGAGCTTTCTTGGGCTTCTCCTCTTCCTCGTCCTCTTCGGCGGCAGCGGCTTTGGCAGCAGCAGCGGCCTTTCCACGCTTCGCCGGGGCTTTCTTGGGCTTCTCCTCCTCGTCCTCGGGCTCGGCCTTGGCAGCAGCCTTCTTGGCACGCTTCTTGGGCTTCTCCTCTTCGTCCTCATCGGCGGCGCCGGCGGACTTGCGACCGCGCTTCTTGCCGTTGGTGGCGGCGGGGGCAGGGGCTTCGTCCTTGGCCTCAGCGCCCTCCTGTCAATGTGTAAGTAAGTGGTACTTCATGAGTGCGTGAGGCTGCTAGCATACCTCGCCGTCGTCCCAGTCCTTGGGCTTCTTGCCGCGGATGCCGCGTTGACCGGGCTTGTTCATCCAAGGGTCGCCGTTGAAGTCTTCGGCAGAGATGTGGCCTTGCTTAATGGCGTCACGGATCTTCTGCTGCAGGTCGGAGTGCTCGCTGAGGGGCCAGTCAGCCATATGTTCATCATCGGATGCCATCTCATGAAAAGAGTGATGAAAAGACGCATGAACTTACCCCATCTCGTCGTATCCGTCAACTGCGTCAAAGTCGTATCCGCCACCCCTCTCGACAATATCGCGAAGGTGCGAGATCTGCTCGCCAGACACACAGCCCCTGTGCGATGAGTTGTCAGACTAGATTCCGCAGCCCTATACCAGCTTGGACATGATAATGAGATGACGAGGACCGGAGGGCTGAAGGAAGAGTGATTCTTCGGCTTACCAGTGCTTCCACCGCCAGGAGCCATGGCCCATGATCTCAGTCCACGTGCCGAAGCGCAGCGAGCCCTTCATGCACTTTTGGGCCTCCTTCTTGCAGACGCCATCCTGACATCCGGCGCGGTTGTTAGGCGACACCTCTATATCGCAAAGGAAAACGGTTAGCAGTTACTAGGCGTGATGCGCCGAAGAAGAGAAGAGAGAGAAAAGAAATAGCCATTGGTGGTATATGGAAATAGAGCTTCTCCAAGGGTTGAGGCTCTCATGACGTAAGGTTCAGGTAGCTTGACGCGTCCGCATCCGACGCGACCGCTGCGCCCGTCGCCTGCCGGGCGCCCGTGGCCTTCCTCATCGGTGCGACGAAGGGAAAAAAACAATGAACCTACCAACACGATAATCAGGCATCTTGAATACTTTGAATTCCGATCGTTCGGCAGATGGAAGAGGATGCTTTGGGCGATTTGAAAATAAAAGGGGGGGGTTTGAGAGAGAAAATCAGGGTTGGGAAGAAAAAGAAACGAGAAGGAGGGAAATGAAGGAGGGAAAGCTCGGGGAAGGCAAGCTGTAGCAGCGTAGCGGTCGCAAATTTCAATGGGAAAGCTGGCAGGAAAGGGGTGTGTTCTCGTCGTTGGTTTAAGGTGACAGCTCCAGCGCGTTCAGGTACCGTCCCCCCTGACTTTAGGCAGGCAGGTGCCCCCAAGCTTCCCGTGTCCTGTAGCTCCAGTGCTTGAGGGGCCCCGGCGCAGCAGCCTAACGCTCGCCAGGCAGCCAGCGGGACACGAGAGGCACAGCTAGCGACCCCGGATCAAGTATGCTCGACACGTGTTGTACGATGGAAGGGAGGAATGCGAGCGAACCGTCTTATCTTTGAAACAAACAACAGACACGTCAGATGCTCTTCCTTTGACAGACAATGGTCGAGATCGCGCTAGAATCGTACCAGGTATGCATCGGTAGACAAAGGCTACTTACTTAATGTTGCCTTCGTTTTCATCGAATATCATACAGCTTTTGCGTAAACCACCAACACCAAATCTCAGTGATCCCCTTCGTCCCGGCTTTCTTATCAAAGCCCATGTCTACCTCCAATCCCAATACATCATAAACATGCAATCTCCCCCAAAACTCCAAACTACAAGAAGGGACACCAACCAATGTACATGGCCGCCAGGTTCCTGGGATCGACCGCCTGCTTGATCAACTCCTCCACTTGCCCCTCGACTCCCAGCGGAATAGGATCCGGACCCATCAGGCCCCTCACCTTCCGCTTGATACTGTCGACGACGAGCTGCGGCTGCATCCGCGGCGCGCCATCCGATCTGCGGCTTGTTTTCTTCTCCTTTTGCAGATCCAAGGTGGGGTCATAGATGAACGCCTCGAGAATCGTCATCAGCGTCTCCTCCTGTTGCCGCAGGATACCCAGCGTCAACTCGCTGCAGTGACGGAAGGGTCCCTCGTATCCGTAGATGCCCATGGCAGCAACCATGTTGTGTGTCAGACGGAAAGGCACCCTCTCCGGTTGTGCGAACGTCAGTCCTTTATCGAACAGACAATTGAAGTCGACGTGGAAGATTCCGCCGTTGTCGCGCTCGAGCAGGACATTCTCGCCGTGGCGGTCGCCCAGACCGAGGATGGTGCCGACCATCGACATGACCGCGCAAGAGCGGGTGTACTTCAGCCGAGCCGAGAACCATGTCGAGGGATGAGGGAAGCGCTGCACGAACCAATACTGCAGCACTGGCGGGAACGTCCCCAGCACGCCCTCCGTGAAGATCTTGATATTATTCGGCCCCGTCACAGCCTCGGACATCATCCTCTTGATCTGGTTATAGTCAGGATGGACGGACCGAGACTTGTACTGGTCCAAAAGGATCTCGCGGAGAGTCTTGAGCCCATCGACCCATTCGATGATGCCACACTCTTCGTTGAGAGGCACGACGGCGTACGTCTTGATGTATAGTTGACGCCTGCTGGCCTCGGCGTCACGTTTGAGTGACCGGTTAATCATTCCGTTGAACTCCATTAGACGCTGGTCTGTTCGCAGGTCGTCCTTCGGTTTGATCATGAGCATGTAGTTCTTGCCATCCGTTCCGCGACACGTTAGCCGCCTCGGTTTAGCCAGCGATCCTAGAACCAGGACCTCATCTAGGAAGGAGTCGATGGTGATAACATCTTGAGAGAATGCCTTGTGCTTCTTGACATTATCTGTTAATGTCGGCAACGTAGCTGTCAGACAAGACTCAATGGGGACCACTAGGGGGCAGGGCGTGCATTTATGGTTGAAGTTGAGATCTCGCGTGATGCTTGCCACCGTCGTCCTGTTGCTCTGGAAGTCACCATTGTTGCAAGCCAGCAGAAGCTGCTCTGCGAGTTTCTCGCCCATTCTCAGTAGCTGCTTGAGGTCATAGCTGCTTCCTTCAACCTTCTTGGAGATCCCCTTCAGCGCTTGCAAGATATGTTGACCTCGCACTCTCCGCTCTGAAGCTTGTCTCGTGGTCATGATCCCGAACAAGCCCCACAGTGCTTGTCGAGGATGTGACTCCACAACTTTGGTGACAATGCGTGTCAGGCGTTCAAACACAGCTTGATTCTGGTGGGCAATTCGCGCAACGATCTGCGGGAGAGCCGTGTAAAATATGTAGGCCGGAAGGCGAGCGATGTATTTGTCGAGGAAGGCATGAAGGAGATTGAGCTGCTCCGTCCGCCTCCTATGGAGCTCGCGGGACAACGAGACCTTGCCTTCGGGAGCCTTGTCCACTTGTGCTCCCAATTCGAGCCATAATGTCAAAATTCTCGGCAAGGTCTGGTAAAGATATTTGGTGCCATAGTTGAGTGATCGAAGATAGTTCTCAATCACCAGTCTGGCAATTTCACCTTGAACAAAGGCGTCACTTTGCTCATCAGGTTTCAGAGGCTTCTCGGTCTCCAGCAGCTTTTTGTAGTAACGTCCGAGGTAGTAATGGCCCTTCTCCCACGATGAGTTTGTCTTGGGAGGCTGTTGATACTTAACGCGCAGAGCAGCGTTGTTCGTTTGGCCTGCCGCATCCAACCACTTGGCAAGCATAAGCTGTGCTCTGGCTGTCAGAAGTCTCTGCTGCGAGTCAAGGCCCCGGACGGAAGACGTGCTATTTGTTTGCGTCATGAAGTTGTTGGATTCGATGGCGCCCTGGAGAACCTGAATCGCCTTGCGTGTGTGACCGTCTTTCCAAAGGAGTCGGGCATTCTCAATGACGGCGGCATTGTCTTTTAGTTGAGAAGCATGGAGAACTGCATTAAATGATTGATGTGTGGAATTCGCTTTTCTAGCCAGACGCGCACTGGAAAGCCAAGACGAGGAGATGTCTGAGTCGCAAAACTTGGGTCTGATTGTTGTTAGAAGAGGCTCGTTGACAGGCATCGGGGAAATATACCGTGAGAGCTCCATGGCTGCTCTGCGAATTCCCAAGAGGTATTGTTTGTCATTGACATATGCACCTAGAACTTCCAATCGCCGGTTCAGCATTGTCAAAACGTCTTGGCGAGTATCATCATTCCCTTCCTGCATCCCAACAATGATTTCCAGATCGGTCAGTACGTGGCATCGAAGCCTCAGATCGTGGCAGGCTTGTAGGGACGATGTCGCGGAATAAGTCATCGCCGAGGCAATCTTCTCTCTCATACTCTGCAACATTTGAGAGATTGCGACTCCCTCGGCGCCCTCTTGCTTCAGAGTGTTGAAGATCTGGCCGACGCTAACGTTAAAGTCTTCCAAAGTGCTGCCATGAAAACGGCTCGTGTACTTGGATAGAGTGTCCCATCTGCGGGTCGCCCAGGCTGCCTCGACTGCATACGGAACAATTTTGTTTTCCATCGACGGTTCCGTATGCATACCTTCAACATAGTTGAGCAGAACATCTACACCTATCAGTTTTATTTTTTTTTGAGGGGTGTCGCAAGATACTCACCATGTTGTCCAGATTGTTTCAGGCAGTTCAGTAGGTCAACCTGTACGTCAATGTTGTTGGGCTCTTCTGCCAACTTGATCTCATACCATGTCTGAGCCGCCGTGTATCTGCCTGCCTTCTTGTGACTGAGGATTTGTTGGTTTATATCGAGAACGTGGAGGTGAGCCGAAATCCCCTCTAGCCCATCAGGCTCGTCAATCTGGGTGTATATATCCTGCAATTGCTCGAGGAGCAGCGTTCTTTGCTGGGGGTCGCTCTTCTCGACCTCCATTTGTTGGGCGTGTTGCTCGAGGTGGAACAGGGCTCTTGGATATTCCCTGCAGTCCATAGCTCGCTGGGAAATCAAGACCGGCGGAATTGTGCTCAACAGGTCATCCACCCTTGCTATGGACGGAAGATCGCTGTCGTTTTTGCGCCTAGCATTCTTTTCCTGCAGCCACCTGCTTGCATAATCAAGCACTCGGAAGACGGCCTATGTTCTGCTTAGCAAAGTCGTCACATATATTTGGGATGGGCTGCCTCGTTACCTCACAGTAAAGCTTCGTATCCTCCCTCTCCGCGTACGGAGCATCTTCGGCAAGCTGGTGCTGGAGGATGCCAACCAGCTCGCCGATAATATTGTCACGATCTTTCCGCGTGCTTCTGTTGCCAATAATGACGTGGAGGACCAAGTATGGAAGCAGGAACTCTGCTACCGCGACATCCTTGACCCGGATAGTACGAGCCAGCGGCCCAAAAATGAGATCTGCGTGCCAATTCTGTCCTCTACGTAAAAGATCCATGGTGAAGGAACGCATCCAATTCCCATACGGCTTTCCCGGACGGAAAATGGGATACTCAACAGGCGCAGGCGTGACAGGTGTTAAGACGTATTTGGAGGTCAAAAACGGGGTCAGAGTCTCCCGAATGCCTTCGGGTAGAGTGAGCCATTTTCTGTAGATCAGATCGCCGTCTCTCATTCCAGTGCTTCGGAAGGCACAGGCTGCCTTGATATCCACTTTGTCCAGGAGTTCTTGCATGGCAAAAGACAAGAAGCCTTGGAGCTTTGTGTCTGTTGTGGAAAGGAAGGCCTTGACCAGGATTTGCTCCAGGATGAAGAGCACAAAGTCCGTCGTCTCGTCTGCGTTCTCAAAGTTGTTCAACAAAACCATGGACTTCTGCTCTCTGACAGCCTCAATTCTGTTAGAGTCAAGGCACCCGACCAGACCGATGCATTGAGTACACAGGCTAGCGATTTCGGGCTGCACGGTGCTGTACTCTGAAGCGCAATCGAGCAAGGCGCGGAGCAGCGTCGACAACACAGGATCCGGCTGCTGACCAATCGCGGACGTCTGTAGGGAACCGCTGTGCTGTTTGAGGTATTCGACAAGCTCTCTGAGAGCCTGAAGCACAACGCCCGAGTTCTCGTGTGCCACTCGGGCTGCAAAGATGGCAAATGCTGTCCTGCTTTCGATGGGTTGATCTCGGCGCACTTTTTGGAGCTGAGCTTCCAGTTCAGCCAGTTCAGGAATATGTGCCAATGATGGCAACTTCCAGATGTACATCTCGATTACTGCGCTGAAGTGCTTGAGAATGGTGGAAATCAGATGTTTGGCCTTGATGCGTGTGTTGTCGTCAAACACGGGCCAATAATGATTGATAATGAAGAACGTCGTTTCCAACAAGACTTCAACGTCCTCTTCTTCAAGGTAGGTGAGAAGGACAGCCCAGCAGGAAAACGCCGCCTCTCTGAGCTCGTCCTGAGCAATAGCCGACAGAAGACAAGCAGCAATCTACAGGGATCAGTAAAGGCAGCCAGTGTGATGGTCGCGTCAACTCACATGTGGCCGAGCAATGCGCACGTAAGACTGACAAAGCTTGATCGTTTCCTCCAATGCTCGAATGCAACGTATTTGTTCCTCGGGAGGCGGGCATAGCCCATGAAAATCATTGATCACGTCCGCCAGGCGAGCCATGAGGCCAAGCATGTACGCCTGGAGGAAACGCCCGATGAGATTGCCCTTTTTGGGCTTCTCCTTGTTCGCGGCCATAACCAAGTTGCACATTGTGGTAATGGCATCGATAACCTCGAAATAAATCAGTAAGAATGCGGAATTTTCATAGCGTAACAACTCACACGGGCCTTGCGGGCCTCGTCTGCTTCAGCCGCAGCTTTGAGTAGCTCGAGGACAACCATAACAAGTTCGGCCTGTATCACATCAGCCAGCGTGGTATCAGCGAGAGTTGGCGCAAACTCGACAAGCCTCGCCATGGTGAATTGCGCCACGTCCGGCACGTCTTGCACTAGAAGCAATCCGAGGACTGGACCGATATTGATAGAGTCCATCACCGGGAAACCAACGTCCTTTTCCCCACGGGCCTCAGCAATCTTTTGGACCACATCCCTCTTCTTCATCAATACCAGCCATGGCAGAGCATGAGTTTGGATGAGGAGAAGAAACTCGTTCACAGAGATTTGCAAGATTTCGGCTAGCGATCGGCTGATTTGCGGTCGTGCCACCATATCTTTTACAGCGAAGTAGGCGAGATTTCTCCAGAAAGGCTCGAACAAGCGGCGTGGTGCTACATGGCGGGCAGCAGCTAAGTTGTTGATCTGAATACGTCAGTCAAGGTGACTCAAAGATGGCACCAAGAACATACCTCATTGAAGGCACAGGAAGATATCAGACTGTTGCTGCTTCCGAGATATTCGAGTAACTGGTGTAGTACTATGTTTAGTTCGTCCCCGGTGACCACTCTAAGTGATGTCAATATCTCGGCCAATAGATGATGCTGTTGTCACTGATGCCTACCGTCCCAGCTGGCTCCACGCCATCACCCCAGTCTCGTGAAAGATGACTGCATCCTTTTCCGATGCAGCTTTGAGAAGACCAAGCGCGTTCTTGCGATTTCGGTGTACGACACTGATGTCTATCGTGCTAGAGGCTGGTTTCCTCAAGAAGAGAGCCAAAGCCCGTCTGTCGAATAAAATTAGCCATGCAAGATGGGCAAGACAGGGAAGCATACCCTGAAGCGATGCGTATTTCTCTGATAGAGCTATGCAATCCTTGCAGACACCACTGCCCCAAAGGAGAAGTCTCGAGATCAAACAACTCAGCTTCATCTGCATGATTTATGACGCGTCTGAGGGCGATCATCGCCACTACCCTTGGCCTCCTGGAGTCCTTGAAGGAAGGGAGGTTGATGAGTTTTGTGAATATCGATTGGGCCTCTCTCTTCGTTTCTGTGTCAACAGGTTCGGGCCTGTTCACTCCTTCCTCTTTGCGATCGCATACGTCACAACTGATCTTTCCGTCCTTCCCTGCGAGTGGGCTACCCGTCTGAGGGATCGCGTCCGCAGCGCAGCAAATGCGAGAGATCAAATCAATGGCTAGGCATTGGCTCTTGACATTGATACGTGGATAGGCGTTTCTAGAGAAGTTAGCCTCCCCCAATGGAACTGGGGAAACACGACGCCTTACAAAAACTTGTGTTCCAGGTTGCCTAGATCGTTCACAACCCCTAGAACTTCGTCAATGCGTGCTGTCAATTCTACGAGCTCATTGCCTTCAGTCAGGACTTTCCGCCGCTTGGTTGCAGGCTCGTCGTCTACTGTGACGCTTTCTGTGTCACTTTCGGCGATGCCAAGACGTTCGACCAGAGTTCGTAATTCGGAGTCAGTGAAGCAAGCTGGCAGGGTTGCGTCGTCTAATTTCGAGGGTACAGTCGGTGCTGTTGCTTGTTTAAGGACACTGATAGAACGCTGCGCATGTCAGTGCTAGATCAGAGAGTGAAGAGCATCAACGTACTGAGAAGTCACTTGGTTCCCCTAATACAGGTACTTCGATGCAGAGCAGCTCGAGTGGCCAAACAACCTGAGGTGCTGCCAATCTTCCGATCTCTCGGTCTACCAGCGACACTTGGGCGAGTCTCAGAAGTGCTTTACAGAGTGTTCTCCTCGCAGCTTGACTCGATTCATCTGGGCCTGCAATCTCATCCGGCCGTGCTGCGAGCTCGGCACACAATAACGCCAGAGAAGTGTACGCTTTCTGCGGGAGCAAAGCTTTCTTGCCTGTAGGCAGCTCGTCTGGAAGCAGGCCAAGGGATACGTTGAGCAAATCAGCCTTTGCGCTTGGGGCAACGGGCTGCCATGTGTTTTGCACAGCACGTAGGGAAAGCAACGATTCGAGCAACCATAGCCTCAGCTCGACAAACGGCGCGCGAGACAGAGGGCTCGAGTATCTAGCAATGGACGGGTGTGCGAGTGTTGATATTAGAGCTGCTGCTTGGCGCACGGCTTGTGACGCATGCGGGACAGCGTATGTAGTCTGTTGTACGAAGAGTATGCCAGGTTTTCCCAGGAGCAGCTCGAGTGTACCGGCAGGAGGAAGGCTCATGTCTATAGTCGCATCCTGTGCAGGGGCAATAGGCGCCGTCTCTTGTAAGCGAGACAGGAGAGCTGTGACCATTAGTCATCTTGGTGCGTTGACGCATGCTGATGTTCAACTCACCATTGCTTGTTTCTCGCAGGTAGAGCAGCATGGACGACAGCAGCGCTCCCATTGACCCAACTCCACTCACCACCAAGATGATGAACCGAAAGAACTCCTCGATTGGAGCCGTGAGGTCAAGGCAGCGAGCATGGCCAAGCAGTTTCAGGACCTTGGGAAAGACCCAGACCCAAAGTGGCTCCTCCCCGCGGAACACGAACTGTTTTCCGTCCGTGGTATAGTTCATAACAATCGGTGTCTCCTCAATTGTGACTTTCAAGAAGTTAATCGCCTTCAATGCCTCGCTCCGTATAACCTTCTTGTCAGCGAAGGGATCATCGAGCTTGATTCCGTCTAGGACGACGCGGGAATAGACGTATATGAGCATATGATTGTGCTCCGTTCGTTCGTCGGGCGTTCGCAGCAGACCGGGGTTGTTCTTGACCCGCTCGATGACGGCGGACAAGCTTCTCAGCTCGGTGTTCTCATCGGATCGTGTGGACTTTGTCGAAGCAGGAAGGTTTTCGACGAGCTGGGCGGCTAACGTGGAGGGAGGCGGCGCATTGGCAACTGCGCCAGCAGGTTTGCCGTACAGCTGTTCTGCCGCCATGGTCTCGTCGGCATCGTCTCTTGGCCCGGGGAAAGCTTGGAGGCGAGAGAATGAGGGCAGCGAGGAAGATTTCCGCTGGAGGAGCTCACGGCGCTCGCTGCGAAAAAACGACCAAGACGTGAAATGCGACTTCGTCAAGCTCAAGGCAGCCCAACCCCACCAGCGCGTCGAGCGTGGCGCACTGTACGCGGAATCACGTGGTCGTCTGTCCGGTCGTCTCTAGTACGTAAGCAAACTTGGTCCGAGCTTCTGGGACTTCCCAACCCGGAAATATCTCCAATTCCAGATTGGTGGAGCGAATGTTGCGGCACGCCTCAGGTTGACCGTCCATACTCACTCTCACCGGAGGGTTTTGAACGATGGCGTCAGCTTCGTTATGCCCGCGTTCCCCTGGGAACTTTCGTCTTTCCTCGTTCGTTTGTTAACATGAATCTCGGTTGATTGGTAATCCTGGAGCTTTCTTGCAAAAATTGCAAGTGATTGGCCCAGGTTGTCCCAATCACCTGATTCTTGCACGCCCTTGCAAGTGCAAATGCGACGTCTTTGGGGAGTCGTGCTGACGATATAATCATTCAGCCAGAACCTCGTTCTACATCAATTTCTAATGTTTCTCATCCAATCCGCTCACTGATTTTACGCAATGATTGGTCTCAAAGAGGCAATGCCAGAGGCCTGGTTGATCCAGGATGCCCCAAGCCAAGCGGCGTCAATCATCGAGATGCAATCTCTGAAGCCTTCAAAGAGTAAAAGCAGCCAAACACGAAAGTCTCTGGACCAGAATGACACTATCCATACGCAACCTACAACAGACACCGAGAACCCAACTGGCAACCCCTCCAGAAATGTCTCCAAGGCAAAAGGCGTCACCGTCATCGTCACACTCGCAGGCGTCAACTTCCTCAACACGATGGGATCAGGCATCCTCATCGCCGCCCTCCCACGAATCGCCGCGGACGTGGGCCTTGCCGATGGTCTCTCGCTATGGCCAGCCGCGGTCTATTCCCTGGCAGCAGGCTGTCTCCTCCTCATCTTCGGCGCCGTCGCCGACGTCGTAGGCGCAAAACTGATGTGGCTGACGGGCAGCTTTCTCTACGCCATCTTTACGGTAGCCGTCGGCCTAGCCAGGACCGGTATCCAGCTCATCCTCTTCCGCACGGTGCTGGGAATCTCAATCTCAATGTGCCTCCCGACCGCCATGAGCTTCATCACGAGCACCTTTCCCAAGGGGAACTGGCGCAACATCGCCTTCTCCATGAACGGCATCGGATTCCCTTTGGGCTATGCGCTTGGTCTGGTCGTCGGTGGAATTGTCGCGGACACCATCGGATGGCGGTGGGGGTACTACATAATGGCCATGATCAACGTCTGCCTCTCAACTGCGGCAATCTGGTCTCTTCCATCTGTGCATCGACAGTCTGAGAAGACGTGGACTCGCCGTCTTGCCGAGGATATTGACTGGATCGGGGCTGTCATTGTGAGCGTCGCTTTGGGTCTACTGCTGTATGTTCTAGCGATGACGACCTCGTCTTACACGAAACTCAATGACGCCTCCAACATTGCTCTTCTGGTCGTAGCCGTAGTTTTGTTGGTTGCTTTCCCGGTTTGGATGGACTTCCAAGTCAAGAAGAATCGACCGGCGCTCATTCCGAACCGTTTGTGGCGAAATGCAGCCTTCACATCCATCTGCGTAAGTCGGCTTCTCTGATCACACACTCAACATTGCATCTTACACCGAACAGGTATCCATATTTCTCAGTTGGGCCGCACTGAATTCGATTCAGTACTTCATCATGTTATTGTGAGTTAAAGGCAGTCTCAAATTAAGAACTCAAAGACTTATTTGTCGTTCTAGTTTCCAAGAAGTCCAACACGTATCCGCTCTCCAAAGCTCTCTCCGCTTCCTCCCACACATCATCACAGGCACAATCGTGAACATGGCGTGCGCATACCTGGTCTCCAGAGTCAAAGTCCAATCCCTAGCCGGCGTCTCCGCTCTCATCACCATCGCCGCGCCCCTCGCGATGGCTACGGTCAAAATTGACGGCTACTACTGGTACGCGCCCTTTTGGGCCCTCGCCCTATCGCCAGTCAGTGCAGACGGTATAGCACCCCTTTTTGCCTCCCCTGTGCTCTTTAGAAGCAACCACAAGACTGACGCAACACACAACAACAACAGCCCTCTTCACCGTCTCGAATCTCATCATCTCCGACGCCTTCCCGGCAGACCTCCAATCCCTCGCTGGCGGCGTCTTCGCCGAGGTCGGCCAGATCGGCAACGCGGTGGGCCTAGCCGTGACAGCGGCCATCGCGTCCTCCGTGACGGAGCACTCGACCGCCGCCGACGATAGGGAAGCGCGCATGACCGGCTACCGCGCCGGATTCTGGACCATCTTCGCGGCGACGGTGGCCGTCGTCGTCATTGCGTTCTGGGGGCTGAGGAAGGGCGGCACGGTTGGAAAGAAGGACGACTAAAGCATTTGAGGGTGGAGGGTGAAGATGGTGGTGGTGGCAGTGGTGGTGCTAACTAAGGCTGAGACTGTATGTCGTCTTAGCTCTTAGCTAGCAGGCAGAAGTTAGCGGGTTTTTGTTTGCTTGAGCCGCCGCTGCCGCCTTGTTTAGTGCCACGCTGTCTGGGAGGGATGGGACTCATGTTGCACTCCTGATTTTTACTAGCAAATCGAGATGTCGAGATGGGGACCGAGTACATTCCGACCGCTGCAGCGAAGTCAACACTACGTTTGCTATGCTACTAGCACTGGTGCTTGCAAGAGATGTACTCAATTCTTAGCAGTTTCAAAGACCTGCAATCTTATTACACCATGATTGCCATGACAACGAACGACGGCCAATGTCATGAGTTCCGGTGGGTTCCGCTCGAATCTCGACGTCGAGCTTCTACCCAAGCTTGAGGCCAAGCATGACTACCGACCTCCCTTTCCTCGCACACATGACAAACACTCACGAAGCACTGTTGTGGTGGCCGTCGGGGAACAGAACGGCGCTCACAAAATCAGACCATGCCTCGAGATGCTCAACGGGCTCCTTGCCATCGAGAGTGGCGTTGTGCCAATCCCAGCAATCGATGCACCGCACATGAATGGTTATGAAATGGTACATCTACTCACAAGCCTATAGGGTCTTTACGGCATGGTGTATGTGGCACCGAGTCCATCGGGACCAAGGCCATACCGCCTCATCACCAGCGACGGGGTTGAGCTGCGTAAGATCATGAAAGCCGAGAAGGAGGCTCACCATTTGGACGGGCACGGTGTTCCTCAGCACGAACGTCGAAGACGTGGACCAGAAAGTGGTCGTGGGCCTGAAGCGCCTGGACATCGCGCGGGGCCAGCACACCGGCGTCACCGCGTACGCCGAGCTCCCCGACAAGCACCGCAAGTTCCCTCACGATGAACAAAGACGGCGATAACAGCGCCGCCGCCGCCCATGCACACCGGCATCCTAGTCGGCAACTGGTTCTCCGGCGCCGTGACCTCGACGGGTTTCTGTAAAGTGGTCAAGTTTGAAGACTCAGACGGCGGTGGCCCGCCCCGGCCGCCAATGTTCCGCCAGCCGCCCATGGTGTGCGTCTGGCCGTCGGGGTTTCTGCACAGCACCACCGACGACAACTTCAACATGCGCGTCCGCCTTGGCCCGGTGACGAACACGACCTTCGAGCTCATCATCTCCTCCTACGGAAGATCCCGTCTGACGTGGGCCTCTGGCTCCTTCATCGCCGTCGACAAGATGCGAAGCCCCGGGGTGCGTGTCGGAATCATCTTGGCCAATGCGATCGAGGGCGGCAACTGGAAGACGAAATCCCATTCGCAGGATGCGGTGTTGGGTTCGGCACCGTCATCGCGGGCTTCACGGGGTTGGACGCCAGCAACAAGAACGGGTTGAAGGTGAACATCGACGTCGACCAGCAGGCGTCGGACTCTTTCAAATGGACTGCTGAGTCGTGGGTGAGAGCACTATGAATGCTTTCGAGGCCATGTATATCTGTTACTAGAGCATGTTTATGAGATACCATCACCGATTTTGGCCTGCCATTACTTTCAACACTATGCCCAGCCCAGCCACAGCTGTGCAAGCTCGAGTCCCGACGTCAGCTCCAGTTGCGCCTGTGGGCGTAGTATAAACAAGCTCAAGCTCGTTTCGTCCACATGGGCCAGATGACGCACTTTGCTCGGGACTAGTAACCGCTTGTTTCAGTCTGATCTTTACCCAGAGGCAGGGTTTACCTTTCGGTAGGCCGCAGACATTCGGACGAAAAAAATGGGCAGGTCGGATCGGTGTCCGAGCTCGTGAGGTGTCTCAAGCTAGGGATCCAACGGCCAGCCGCCAGAGCCTCTCCGCTTGAACAAGCGTGCTTGGTTGTTGTCGTTGCTTGTCAATATGTCATGTTGCATGTTGACATGTCGCGGTTGCCCCCCGCGAACCCATGGGAAAGGGAGGGGCTCTGGGATACTTGATGGAGCTTCGTGCGGATGACGGGTGCCGAGTATGGATAAGTTGACGACATGCTGACACTATCGCGACCGGGAGCCCGGTTGAGAGCTGCCGGTCGTCTCTGCAAAGACGTCGTTGTCTCTCGTTATGGAGCACAGTACCATAAAGGAAATAAATTATTGACTTTAATGAGGAGAGAAAAAAGCTCCCGAGCTCGCGATGCAAAATCCTCCACCGTCAGGAATGGAAGTCGTTGAAAACTTGTCATAGAAGTACGCCCCCCTCCCAGAAAACGGCATACAGATCGATCGCCCAGCGGCTGTTGTCCAGCAAACCTTGGCAGCGCCGATCTGGATGTATTTATTTTGGCGGTTCATACGGCAGTAGACCGAAAAAAACCTAAAATGGAGGGAAAGAGAGGAGAGACGAACAACTGCATCAACCGTGCCGGCCGATGATCAGTTGGAGAAATCCTCCGTGCTGCATGTGCCGAACAGCCCAGGCCCTGTCCATTTGGGGATAACACTGTGAATGAGGTGCGTGAGGCTTGGGTCTTGTGAGGGAAGTGGATTGGTCTTGTGCTCGTGTGCTCGTGTGCCACATTCGAGGCCCGGCCAAGCCACCTCTTGGTTTCTATCTCTCCATGATGTAGCATATCCAGCCTAAGAGGTAATGATACCACGCTGCGGTGGCATTTGGTGATGTGTGTCTAGCTCAGGGGACATCCAGCTGTGGCTGCGAATGTGATGCTTACTCAACTCTGTTTGGAGTACCTAAGTATGTCTGGTACACATGTGTTCTTGTCCCTCCTGCACGGCAGCATCATCCTAATCCACAGTCCGGGGATAACCTGAAGCCAAATACGGTAACAGAATGGCAGCGACAGCAAATATGTACATCAAATACCTACAGCGCGACGGGAAAGTCGATCTCTCGGAAAATGAGAGGCAGGACAAGCAGGTTTTGGGATTGCCGGTGTAGGGCTGGGCCGGGGAGGATTGTTCGTCATAGTGGATTAGGGCGGGTTCACGCGTAGCTCCAGTTAGCGATCTTGGCTCAGACCTCTCGTACAACGCATCATGTCTCTGTCTCCCCATACAGCACCGATGAAAGTAGAAGTTTGGAGCTGTTTGGCTCGCGGTTGGTTTGAGACGCGTGGTTTTCCCGTCATCCGTAACATGTTTCTCCGAGAAAAGGGCAAGTTCACCAAGGTTGATTGCATGGCGCCGTGGTGGGGTTTCTTGACTGGGAAAGGCGGGGGTGTTCAGCGGGTGTTCCGTATCGTGCCGCGCTGGGCACTGCACAAGCACACAGCGAGCACCTCATTCTGGCGCCGTCTCATCACATTCCGGCATCCATGCTTTCGAAGACGTGGGCATGGTGCTCTCAGGTTTAGCACTTTCAGTTCCAGCATTGTGATTACCATTGCCCGTTGTGTATCTACCACCTTGCGTTACATGTCTTTTCCTCTTCGCCTCCGGACCATGTTCCGCTGCAAATGCTTGGTGCAAAGAAGGCACAGTACCTCTTGGTGGCCGTCATCATCCAAGTCCCCCGATCCCTGTCTTGCTCGCAGATGGCTGGCGGGTGGATTGGCCCGAGGTGTAAACCCCCAAGCCCCCGCTATCGCCCATCTCCTCGCCGTGGGCAGTCGAGAGCGAGAATGGAAGTGGTTGAGTGTTCTGGAAGGGGAGTACCTGAGATACAAAGCGGTACAAAAACCGCCGAGACCCATACAATTGGGGTCCCTTCACAGGCTGCGGCGTTTCCCTGCCAAGGCCCCAGAGGCAGCTCAGCACACCCGGCGAGTGGACGAGAGGCCACCAAGAACTGGAAACAAAACATTTCCATGTATGACTTGTACCCTCTATCTGTCTTGTCGTGCCGCAGTAAGGTACGTTGCTGACCGCCTTAACGTCAACAACCACAGCAGCAGGCTTCACTCCCGTGTTCCTGTTGTTGTTTCTGTACTATGTAGTCTGCAGGACAGGCGCGTATGTGAACCAGCCTGTGCGCAGCGCCTCACCCAAACGTTATTCCTCGCCAAACAATATGCCGCAAAAGCCTCACCGGGATGATGCTACTAGCACTACTAAATAGGTAAGTAAAGACATGACGGGATGAGGTGTTTTTGACAGCTCTCGGGGGCTTCGGGCGGCGTCGGCGTTGGTGGGGACGGGAACGACAGGTTGCACCTTTGGGCGTGCTTCTTTCTTTCAGTTCAGCGACGGGCAAGACCAAGACGGCGCTGTGCTAATTAATTCCAGCTGCAGCAAGAGCACTTTCGATGGGTGGCCTGGCCTGGACTTGAACTTGGCTGGGCCGGGCTGTGCTGTGCTGAGCGCGGTCAACAAGTCAGGTCAAGTCAAGTATCTACAGTGAAGTGGGCCCTTCCATGAGCGACGACCCCGCGCCTGGCTGACACTTGCTTCTTCTTTTCCCCTCTCCTCTTATCATGGCTTTGCTTTGCTTTGCTGTACCTGTCTGCTCGTCAAGGACAAGAGTCAACAAACAGACCGGGCCTTTCTCCGGTCGCCATTTGTTCCCGCTCTCTGTTCGTGGTTTGCTACTTCAGTCTTAGTGTACTACGTAGTAAACATCCAGAATGCAGCAAGTGCGCCGCAACTCCCCACTTCACCCTCAACCTCGGAATGTCACTCATGCTCCCCCTCTGCTGCTGCTGCTGCTGCTGCCTTCCCGCGGCCGCTGATGGGGATTGGACTCTTTAACGGACCAGGCTATGCATCGTACCTGTCGTTCATTCCCACATTGGCCCTTCGCTTCATCATCCTCACCAAGCCCGACCCGTTCGCTTCACTGAGCACATAGTAGTTCTCTCCCCGTCTGTCATCCACCTCGTCCTCCACTTGTTCCACGCCCCCCAGAATCCAAAATGGGGCGCTGCCCGTGGCTAAATTGACAGCTTCTCCATCGTCGTCAGCCAATGCTGGGCACCGGCACGTTTGCGCCAGGAACACGACGCCCCCGTGGGCCACTTGGTGCTATCCTCCACTGCCTCCAGTGCCTCCACTTACTCGGCCTCTCCAGCCTGCATTGCTGATGCTGATGCTGATGCTGCTTCCCGTCTTGTCTCCATCTCCCCTTCGTCCTTCGTGGTGCCTGCTTCCCCTTTCTTATCCGTGGCCCCGGTTCAACTATGTCTATCGTGGCCAGCAGCTAACATAGCAACGCTGCGAACTTCCCTCTCTTGATGACTTGCTTATTGATCTGGTCCTCCTCATCCTCTACCTCCCTATCCTGATCTAGTATAAGGGGACCTTCCACGCCCGACCTGCATGCCATCCATACTCTTCTACTTCCCCCTTCCACTGCCTCGACCCCTCACCCCTCCCTCTGCTTCTCAAAGAGGAAAACTGTACATCTGACCTGCATCGTCCTGCCCTGCCAAACCACCACAGAAACACATCTCAACCACATCAACCCAGAACCCTGCTTCCGTCCGGCCTTGCCTTCCTGTCGTTGGTCTCGCCGTTTGTTCTGGTCCCTTCTCACGTGTCCCGCACCTCCTCTACACAACCACAGAAGGTCTCGTCCATCCCCCAAATCTACTCAAAGATACATACGAGGAGCCTCGAAGCTACTGCTGCGCCAAGACGCAAGCTTCCACTCCTACACCGCACACCCCTCCCCCATCCACGCACACACACATACTCACTGCGTACGGCGGTACACTACACACCACGCACCAAGGGCACCCACCTTTCGGGCAGAGGCATCCCAGTTCCCGCCGGCTCGGACTGAAAGCTTGCAGCCATCGCTGGGCTGCTTTATCCGTGGGCGGCGTCCACTTCGTTTTCTTGTTCCATCGCTTCGTGCGTGACCGACTTCTTATTCCTCTCCCCTGACCTTCGTGTCTTAGAACTTGGAGCCTTGGAAGGCGTCATCTACGTCCAGAACGCTCATTTCCCAACCTTCTCTGCGACCCTCCCGCCCTCGTTATCTCGGCGCACAGCACATACACACGCACGCACACACCTCGACATACATCAGACTACCCGCCGCCGCATCTCTGCTCGAGCTGCGCTTCACCGTTATTGAAGAGAGCCCGGTTCTCCCTCTGCCGCCCGATGGTCGCCATCTTCTCTTCCACCTTTCGCATCCTACCTTCGACTGGCTACACCTGAACTCGTTGAGACCACGCGCTTCCCAACTTGCACCTCATCCCACCAAGCGTCTCGTTCGTCAAAATGGCCGCCGCCGTCGCCGAACACCCGCGGTTCTTCCCCACGCGCACCGACGCGCTGAGCTCCGAGGACTTTGAAACAGCCTCGATCCGTTCCGCCGCACCGTCTTACTGTAAGTAGAACATCCTCACGAGGTCGAGAGCGGGACGCCGGGAGCCTCTGCACTGGCGGTGGCCCCGGCGGCGCCTGACATGCCCGCCTGAGCCTCACCTCAATGACACCTGCCCTTCAACTATGGGAAATTCGTCAGAACCAAGGACTAACGATAAGAAAAGTCTCAGACGCGCCTTCATACCACTCCACTGCGCCCAACCCGGAGCCGATACCCGCATACTCGCCCCCGGCAAACAACGCCGCCGCCAACCCGAACGGCTCCACCCAGTACCCGACCTCCCTGCTCCCCGCCGCCCCGGCCCCGACCCGCTCTGGCACCACAACCCCTCAGCCCCGCTCCGGCCTGCCCCCGATCCCGCCCGCGTCAGCCGTTGTTCCCCAGCTCAACAACTTCCGCATCCCGACATGGTCCACCGTGCACTCCAACCCGACCCTCAACAACGTCGCCCGCAGGCGCATGAACCAGGGCGGAGCCGACCCCGTCGCACACCTGCGGCGCTTCATGTCGGAGCGCATGGCGGAGGAAGAGGCGGCGCAGCGCGCGAGGGACTTCCGACCGCTCGAGGACCCGTACCTGGTTGGCGAGGAGGCGGCATCGCGGGCTAGAAGAGAGAGGCTTGCGAGGGAGTCTGGAGACGATATCCTGTGGGACGAGGATCGCCGGTGGAACAGGTTCCTTGGTAAGCCCCTTGCATTCCACAGCAGAAGCTGAGAGAGAGAAAGGGAAATGACTGACTCTTTCACACAGCGCAAATGCAAACTTGGGAAGACCGCGATCGCAGCCCCTGGAGAAACGTACGTCAGAACGAACCGGTCAACCAGCGCAAGAAGCTGAGCAGGCGCCTCGCGGGACGTCTTTGGTAGACCCAACCGCGCGATGATGAAGTATGCCTCTCTTTTGTTTGATGCCGCATGTGGATATGACTTTCTTTCCGAAGCAAAAACCGAGAGTCCGTCATGCATTGGGACAGGAGTATTTTTGCTGGGCATTTCTTGCACATTTTTCTCGCTTTCAGTTCATCCATCGGCGTTCTTTAGATAGAGCATTCGAGAGAAGCCGATGATTCCTCCCCTGGAATTGGGGAGATGATTTCACGCCCTTTTTGAGGCTTTTGGGAATATAGGAAGGACCATGGGTTATGCCGGGATAGGAACATTTTCTCTTTCAACATGGTGCATCGCCTGGGTTAGATGCATCCGAGAGTGAGCCCGCTCCTCACGGATAGCCCGTGTGGCTCGGTTCGTTTCGTCGTTCATGTAGGGAACGCTGGACCTACTAGGGTTTTGTTTGGGATATGGGAATTTGGATCAAATTGAACAAACTTGGATGATATATCCCGATTACTTTGTGTTTCTTTTGCTGTGACGTCTGTGTGATGACGCCTGTGGCCTCCCAATCGCGACGGTGACGTTGATGGCCTGAGTTCTGTTGGTTGAAATGATATCGAACAGTTACACCAAACATCGCCACCTCTCGTCGTGTTGGCGAATAAGCAAAGGCCTCAGCTGGCTTCGTGATGCCTCATCAGTAGACGAGGCGAGGACGAGCCTCCAGGCTCCCGCGGGGTAGGAGTATATAAGCACTTTTACCGAGCTTCTTCACAATCTTGGCACACAAATGGCGTCGTGAGTATGGATGGTGAATGAAATGTCTGGCTCACTCTGTCTTCTTGAGCTTGACCTGAAGTATACTCGGCATCATGATTATGCTGGTTGATGATTCTCGTCCCGGCATAGATGTGGTTCGAATAGTGCCAGCCGCCGAATAACTCAAAGACAGAAGGACTGGTCGATAGCGAGGTGGTTCTTGAATCGCACCAAGTCCCCAAGGTAGGACATAAGACTCAGCGAGGCGCGCGTCTGCGAGGGTGTCATTTGCTCCCTTGTTCTTGCTGATCGATGACCTGACATGATTGCTTGAGGAGCCTACTCAACAAGCTGGGAGATGATGTTATATAGTCGCCGAAAGCCATCTTGCGAGACGATCTCTGCATGGATGACCTTGATTCGCCCGAGGCCGCTGCCAGACGGGAAAGGTGTGGAGTTGGAATGGGTCACATCAATAAATATACCTGTCCGTCTCTGATCGTCCCCGAGAAGACAAGATGGAGTCTTGAATGTTCGGTCACAATGAAATGTGTATGGAGCGGTTCTGTGGCTGTGAGTCGTCTCTGCCCCTGCAACGTCACTGGTTAGATCGAAATCTTGAGGGGGCCATCCGTCACCTGTCAGTTAGGGATGGTTATTCTCAGTGAATAGGTTAAGGAGACTGTCTGATCCTCGAGGTCATTGCAGAACAGTATCGTCTGAGGACTCAATGCTTCTCGCCACGAGGCTATTGCTTCACTTCAAAGATGTCTTTGCTGGTCTTCCAATTGCTGAGCGGTGTATCGAAATGGCGGGTTCTAGCATTTATGTACTTTTCTTGGATGATCTACTGACGATGAAATCAAGAAGGCCTAAGTCTCTGGGGGTCTGGCTTGGCAGCACTTGGACGTCAAGCTTGTTGACAGCCTCTGGCAGCCACAGCATCAAAAATATCGGTAGAGCCCATGATAGAGGATTGTTGGCGCAGAATTACCGGCCGTTTTTTATTCAAGGGAACTGTGTTGACTGGGATGCAAGCTTTTTTGTCTTATGTGTAGATTTATGCGTCTTTCTACGTAGCCCCAGGCAGCATTGATTTGATCAAGGCTGCAAGGAATCTTTTGCCTCAGCGACCCGATCCGTTTCTAATGCAGCTGCTCATCTTGTCAAGCCGTGGGTCATGTAGGTGCCCTCGACAGTTTTTCAAAGCTGCCGGTGAGCCATGCGTTCTGTCTGTCAGCATTATGATTGCAGAGCCAGCTGAATACTTGGAACTTTGCTTTGTTGTGAGGGTTTTCTAGCTTAGGTTGAGCATCCACTCTGGAGTTGAACTCAGTATGCACCGTCAGTTAAACCATCAACAACCAATTCACAGAATCAATACGACACAATTGACAGTGCCTGTTCTCCATCGTTTGCAAGTTTTGATTAGTTTATAGGCTCATTGGAAACCTACCTACGAACCGACGACCCCTACCCTTAGTCTAGGTAGCCGAAAAGTTCGTAGATGCCTCGCCTTCGAGGACCTGACCATCTGACCAAGAACGAACAAGTAGACGTCACTTGCGATGCATACAACCTTGACAAACAGGATCGTACCTGGGCTTTTCTAAAATACTTTGCGTAGTCGAAAAGATCTACTCTCTCATCACATCCTCATCTCCGACGGAGTCTGTATGGTCTCAAGCCAGTCTCAGTGGTTCACATGAAGCAAAGGGATATTTGTCTCCCTTCTCGGTCAAGTATTCGCTCTGTATCAACACGATTGGCCTTGACTGTGCTCTTTCTTGCCACTGTAAGGTGGATGAGCGCTCGCAAGATGTAGCCACGGTCTGATAACCCACTTGATGCATTAATCTCAAATACCCTGAGTTCAAGCACGGCTGATTGTGGTCCAGAAGAAGAGCCCTCATAGATCCATCAAAAATCAGCTTCAATACGCGATACTCAACTCCAGACCATGTTGAGGATTTTGAGAAGTGCCTACCGTGAATATTGACTTGCCATCTATTCCCAGTCAGCGTCAGTTGAGTGCTTGTTTGGGGGGCATCCAATCAGGGCTTCGCCAAGAAAATTTGGCTCAATCAGCAAGTCTCATCTGCTTCATCTGCATGGCACTACAAAAGGTCCATGTAACCGAAGGTTCTTTTTCACAGGATCTATCAAACCAATGCACTGGCAGCATGATCTCCGATGTTGGAGGCAGGGTGGTATTGGGACGTCCTTTGCTTATTTCACACCTCTTATAAGTAATAGCTACAGTATGAACACACCCAACTGGACGTGACCTGTACCCATTCTGCTTACTTACTTGACAGGTTCGATTTCATTTCCGTCGCACGCGCTCTTTCAATACTCGCAGATTGAGAACGGCGATTCTTGCAACCGACAACTATGACGGGAGAATCAAAACTACGCTCAGAATCGGATATGGGACCAAGCTCACCCCCGCAGGCTTCGATCCATGAGAAGCCACAGCAGAGTCAAGCAGAAATAGCGGCAGAGATAACCATGGCCGCAACAAACATGAGCATCTCAAGTTCCAAGAAAGCTGAGAATGCACCCGGCGACGCTCAAGAGAAGACCCAAGGGACAGCCGCTACCGGCACCAACCCAGAGTCACCAGAAACCGCTACCAATCCTGCCATCAATGGCGATTTCGGCAAGGAAGACCACGAGTACATCAGCGGATACAAGCTGTACGCTGCCCTCTTCGGCATTATGTCTGTCTTCTTCCTCGTCCTATTGGATTTCAGCATCACTGCGACGGTGAGTACGGGTAGACTACAGAGCCATGCTACAACCGGTTTTGATAATGATTTCCTGATAATGGGCATCACTGAACGATACTGGTCAGACAGCTGACTATGGTGTCTCCCCAAAACCTAGGCTATTCCGTACATCACGAGTGATTTCCACCGGTTGCAAGAGTACGTTTTCCCTCATAACAGCAGTGTCTTTCCCTGCTCTTTCGAACTTATATAACCACAAAGACACCCTTGCTGACCTTAATACTCAACAGTATCGGATGGTACGGAAGTGCCTATGTGCTTTCGAGGTAACTACACTTCCCTCAGCTCAAATGCCCATTAAAGATAATTATACGAAAAAGCCTAATTGAACTGAATGTGATCTAACCTATCCGGCCACCAGCGCGGCTTTGCAACCCTTTACCGGGAAACTCTACACCTACCTCAACGTGAAGTACACGTTTCTCTTCTTTGTCTTCATTTTTGAGATCGGCTCTTTGCTCTGCGCTGTCTCGACGTCGTCCATGTTCTTCATCCTCGGCCGTACCATCGCCGGGTTGGGAAGCTCTGCCTTGGAGAATGGCGCCCTGAACCTCGTCGCAGGAGCAGTGCCCCTGCACAAACGGCCTTGTAAGTCGTTGGCGGCATGGTCAATTCTCTGCAGTTCTATAGCTAACGTTCGTAGTTTACAACGGCATTGTGTTTGCAGGTCAGTAGCAACGACCGAATTCAACGGAAGGGGGGCTGACGACAGACTCAAGTCTGTCAAACAGGCATAGTCCTCGGGCCGCTTATCGGTGGCGCGTTGACGCAATACGCGAGTTGGCGATGGTGTAAGTAGTTGCAATCAGTGCGGCACTTTTGCGCAACATTCAACTCGACGACTGACACACGGCAGGCTTCTACATTAACCTTCCCATCGGCGTGGTCTCCAGCCTCTTCCTATTCTTCACCCACGTCCCAGAGGAGACACTCAAGCCGCCCTTCTCGCTCGCCCTGTTACGCCGCATCCTTCCAGAACTCGATCTCACAGGGTTTGCGCTGTTTGCCCCGACGACCGTCATGTTTCTCATCGCGCTGCACTGGGGATCGACCAAACACGGTTGGAGCTCACCCGTCGTCATCGGCTTGTTCGCAGCTTCTGGTGCTACGTTGCTCATGTTCTCCGTCTGGGAATGGCACGTAGGTGAGAAGTCCCTCATACCCTTTCACCTCATCAAGAGGAGAAGGGTGTGGGCCAGCGCGATTCAGAGCACCACGCTGTTCTCTCTAAACTATGTCGGGGTCAACTACGTCCCCATCTACTTTCAGGCTGTGAAGGGCGTAGGCCCCTCTCTGAGCGGTGTCTACATGCTGCCCTCGATTTTAACGCAATTGCTGTCTCTGGTTATTTCTGGCGCCCTTGGTAAGTTGAGTCCGCCTGCTTCTTGAATATTGAATGATGAGGGATGGAAAGGGGGAACCGTCTGCGGCTAACTATTGATTCCTATTAGTGACTAGAATTGGGTACTACCTCCCATTCAGCGT